AAATTGATTACTAATATTGGTTTCTTCAAATTGAAGATCGGATGGAGTAGGTTTAGTAACCAATCATTATTAACCACATTTGGGATATTTTAATTAAATATTTTATAATTATCAACCAATCATTTATAATTACTAATCAATCATCTTCTTGACACATCACTGTGTCTTTGTTTAATATGTGAATTTGATGCCATTTTGCATCTGTTTATTACCACAACCAACACAAGAATTATTCAAAAGTATAATTGATGAATTTGGTGTCATTTTGCATCTGTTTATTACCACAACCAACACAAGAATTATTCAAAAGTATAGTAAGGGAAAAGATGTGTGCCATATGCACCTAATAATTAAAAAAATAGCATAATTTCAATTTTTTAAGTCATAATTTAAATAAAAAAAATTATCTTAACTAAATACAATATGAGGCATAACTAAAAAGTTCATATGTCATAACTAAAATAATGTCATAACTAAAAAACAAAATGGATCATAACTAAATAAAAACATAACATAATTAAATGTGCATATGATATATCCTTTTTTAAAAGGGCATATATTACAATTTCCCTATTAAGGATATATTGCGAATCAAAAACCAACTTGATAGAAAAAGATGATCATATTGACTTCAATATGAATTCTAAATTTTCTGTTTTTTTATTTTATTTTATTTCATTTTTTTTTTTTTATGTTGTCGATGTATATTAGGTCGGATACATAATAAAGATTTGGGAACTTACCAATAAGTCCCATATTAAATTTCAAAATCCATCTAATCTCAAAACAAAACACTTGCACTAATTAGTCCTATAATTTTTAATTGTTGCAAAAAATTTTTTTTTTTTTTTTAATTTACAAACATTGTTGCATCTCACTTACCATCGAACTCTCATCAGACAGTTGTAGAACACCCCATCTTTTGAACTGACCTTAAGAACTCAGACGTCATCGTTTGTGGCACACGATGATTGGTGCATGTTTGTTCTCGTTTGAGTATCCGGCGAGCTTTCGGTCGAGCGCCTTGTTCTCAGTCTCTTCACTTTCTCCTCTTGGCTTGGTTTTTGCGACCAATGCCTTTGCTGCATTTTCCCTAGAGGGAAACAGAGGCTTGTAGGCCACTTTTTGTAGTCGTAGACTACTTTCCCTCTCGTAGGCCATTTTTCTACCCGTAGAGCTAGTTTTCGGGGCTTACGGCTGAGTGCCTCGCCTTGCGGACTCTTGTCTTGCTTCCTTTTTGTTTGTTTTTAACCAAACCTTGTTATCCTTTGCCCGGAGGGTGGAACAGGGGGTTAGACTAGTTGCTCCCCTGTAAGACCACTTTTTTCCCTGCCAGCCACTCTTTTGGTCGGCCGCTAGGGTTGGTAGTCTGTGGACCACCTAAGGTGGTCCGCAGCCTGCCACCACTCCCACTCTCTGTGCAAAACCTCCCTTGTACTTTCCACTTTTTCTTCCTGTAGACCACTTTTCTGGTCGGTCGGCCGACGAGGTGATCGGCCGACCACCTTAAGTGGTCGGCAGCCATCCTGTATTTCTATAGATATTTTCCTTGCCAACTGTGCCAGCTGTTAGGCACAGAAAGCATCCTCCATACACGTGTAGGAAGGATGCATCAGTATGGCGGGTGATTGAATCAATGCTTCTAGCTTGTTCAACAAGCTTCTGAGGCTTGGATTTCTATAAGAGGAGGCTCTCTCTCCCTTTCCAGGGTACACAAAATTTCCAGAGCTGAAGTTTACTCTCTCTCTATACTTTATGCTTGAAAGTGCCTTTTTCTTCACACTTTTGCACTTAAAGCACCTAGTGAAAAACTATTGCTTTGGAGCAGAGGCACCTTGAAGCTTGTTTTGAGGACTTTGGACTGGTTTTGGTTCAAAATTATGGTTGAAGTTACTGTTTTGAAGTTGTTCTCAAGGGTGAGTCTATAGCTTTTTTTAAGGCCTTGTTTTCATTGCTTATTTGGCCATTTGCATGATGTTTTTAGGCTTAACTTGCAACTACAAAAAACTTTTGTTCTTAAGTGCTTGAGGTGGTTTTTGAGACCTTTTTGTGTTGAAGGTGTTTTAACACTCTTGTGTGCCCTTGTTTTGCTTTGTTTTGTGCTACCTCCTAAGTCCTTTGAGATCACCTTCTCTTGCCCTTTTTAACCACTGAATTCCAGAAGAATTTAGTGGTGGAAAGTGCGTTTGAGGCCCCAAATGGGTAGGGGCTGTCCCCCCTCCTCTTCTCTTGTGTGCTTGTGTTGATGGCTCACCAAGTAGCATGTTTTTCTACCTTTTGGGCCCTATCTTAAGCATGTTTCAGGCCTTGTTTTTCCTTGATATATCTTAGTGTAATCCTCTCTATAGCCTTAACATGCATCATGCTTTGACCACCATTTTAGCATGTTTTTGGCTCCAATCCAGCAAGCTTTCACTCATGTTTTTCCATGCTTAAGCTCTGTTTATGTGTTTTTGGTCATGCTTGCCTTGCTTTGTATAGCCATAGTGCAATCTTGATCACTAGCTTTGAGTTCATAGTCTCTAGCATGGCTTACTTGAGTTGTTTGCATGCTTTGGCCTCATCTCTAACATGATTTTCAATGTGTGTAGTGTAGTCATACCTCTCCCATGTTTCACACTTTCAATTCTTTTGGAGGGTTATGCTTTATGCCTCAATCATGAGCCAATGGCATGCAATGCTTGCCTAAAGCTTTTGGGATACCATCTCAGTTGTTTTTGGTCTTATTTTTCCATGATACAACTCTGTTTTTTGGTTGGTTAGAGCATCCCTCATTTGCTCTTACACTTGTAGTGTAATCATGCTTATTGGCCTTACATGCGTCATGCTTTATGCCTCCCATTCTAGCATGTGTTCGCTCTAATCCATGCATGTTTGGCATTGTTTTGACCTTCTTGGGCTATTTTGAGTCACCTTGGCCCTTTGGGGCTTGCTTTGATATGGCTATGGTGCAAGTGCCTTTGCTAGCCTTAAGCTTTGAGCCTCCTAGCATGCCCATTTATGATGTGTGCATGATTGGCATCATTTGGAATGTAATTTAGAGCATATTTCATTGCCACACTCTCACATTTTTCAGTCTTCAATGTGTTTGATAGTTTGTGTCTTCATGCCTTGTTTGTGAGCCAATGTGTATGCATGCTTGTATATGCCTTTGACTCCCTTTTCAGTATGTTTTGGCCTTGTTTTGGCATGGTTTAGGTCTGTCCATGGTTGGTTAAGCCATTTAAACTTGGTATTGCATGCCTCTTGTGAGATGCTCTTTACTAGCTTTGTGTTGTCTTGGCCTCCAAACATGCCATGCATGCATTGTGCGTATGTGGAACCTTGTGCATGCCACATTAACATTGATAGATTCGCATGTTGTTTGCATGTTGTTGCATTGCATCTTGTTTGCTATGTTGTTGCATTGCATTGTGTTTGCTTGCTGTTGATTGCCATTGTGTTTGGAATGTTGTGCATTACATTGTGTTTGGATCGGGTGTTTTGATCCAAACACGAGAAATGAGGGGCGTTTCATACTTGAAGTGATGAAACGCGCCCACATTTCTTGGTCGCCGCCCCTCTTGATCAAGCATGATAGAGGCAGAGGCTCTTATTTGTCTTTGTGCATTCATTGACATCGACTTGTGTAAACTTGGGCTTCTGCCATCGTGCATTGCGATTGCTCGGTTGGTGGCCCGAGAGACGCAATACCGCACTCCTTTGAGCTTGAGAAATGATAGGGAGGGTGGTCGTGCACACATATCTTGCAAATAACACTACTATTGCCCCTTTTTGTCCTTCTGTTGCAGCAAAAACTGGGTTTTGAAGAATTTCTAGTCGGCAGACTAGTAAAGGTGGTCGAACCGACCCTTTTTTTCTGGTCTACAACTAGTTTTTCTAGTCTACATGTGGTCTACAGCCACCTTTTCTGGTTGGCAACCCACCAGGAGGTCCTGTATTGGAAAAAAAAATTCTGGAGATTGTGCAATTTTCAGAAGTTTAAACCAAATGCAAACAGAGGCAATTGGGAGCACGATAATGGATTACCGAGGCAAAGCCGACCTGAGCATGAATCATTCATTATTCCTGGGCAGAGCTATGGGCAACCTAATTAGCTTCTTTTTCTTACATAGTTGTTTTGTAAACTTAATTAATTTGATTAATTAATTAAAGTGATGTAATAATTAGTTGTAGCTAGTTATTTAATTTGTGTGTGTAATAATTAGTCTAATTAGATTATTAGATTAGTTAAGTAGTTTAACTTAGCGTAGCTAGCTGTATTATTTATTCGGACCCTCCTCCGAGAGGGCGATGTTGTAATAAGCGTGCGTCTGTGTGATGGCATGTTTTCCAACCCATTTTTTTTCCCTTTTACTTATCAGCTTTCGATGGTTAGTTTAGGGCATATTTCGATTAGCATACCTTATGCTTGCATGTGTGCATCCATTCATCTGTGTTGCATGCACCGGGCTCGGCGCATCATACAAACTGCATTGTATTTCAATACCAATTTGAATACATGATTATCTAGTTGCATCACATGACATCTTAGAATAGCCGAGCCTATCTTAGGTGCATTTTGCATGTGTTGCATTAGGCATTCTTGACATAGCTAGGATCATGCATGATTTCTAACTAGATTTTTTTTTGCTCGATGTACTAGGTAAGCTTTTACGCTTTAGCATCCTTGCATGCATGTAAGTGACGCCATGTTTAGCATGCTTGCCATGACGCTATTTGCTTAAGTGTTTAACTGCATGAATGCCTGTGGATGAAGGTTTCATTGCTTGAATTGGAACAATTCATCATAACTGTGAGTTTAAGCCACTTGAAGTGGCAAAATCATGTTTTATTCTAA